GACCAGGCTATTAGAATTAATTCTGTTTTCATCAAGGTAGCTTGGTGCTGGTCTCCAGTAAGATATTTTATAGAAGTATCAGAGAATAATTAGGACAGAAAGTGTATGACGTCAATGCAAACAACAGCTGACTACCAAGTAAAACCATGACTATGACTGCTCACATAGTACCGGGTAACGCAATATAACCAGGATAAATGAATACATGTGGCGTTTACAAGAGATGCTCTTATCTAGTGGGTCAAGTTTATTCAGCCGGATGTAATCTAAGATCAAGATGACGCGCTTCGAAGTCATAAATTCACCTTATTAGGTAGAGCATTTACCGAATTAGGGTGAGATAATAATGTTTAGAAACATCGATGTTTACAGTTGGTTCCAATGATTATTAGACCTTAAACTATAATAGGTTACGACTGCATGGTTTAAATGTGCAGCTCAGATGCTTTTAGGTGTAGATTTATTATGCCTCAAATTTGTGAAACCAATGGAATGGAATTTGAGCTTTATAAATAAGGCTATTAGATGAGATCCGAAGCTATAGTCTTCTTCGTACTAGCCGAGTATTCTTATCTCACGGGATACATGACCTACAATGCTGAATAACAATAGGAGTAATTTCATGTTTGGCAAGCCTACGACTCTAACATTTAAAACTATTCATGGCTGACATGCAAGGCTGCATTTCAGTCTGTTCCATGAGATATATTAGTAGACTCAGGACTCACGCATGATAGAGTGTTTATACATTTGAATGCAGAAAATGCTGTGCACAGATTATCACTATGGCTCCATGATCATGTTGTAAAGTCATTGTAAGGGTACTTTAGTGTATATAACCAGTGATAACTTACTCAGTAATCTTTTAGTTAAACAGAATCTACCTGAGATGCGGTGAGCATCACCTTGCAGAGTACTAATAATGGATCCTATCAAATCTTGCAGACTTCAATCCAGACTGGGCACCATGCAACCGCGTCCTGGGGAAGCACCCTGACGTAAAGACACAAAATATACATCAATGATGTATATAATGAGTTTAAGTTATCTTCTCTTAGTTCATGTATGTGATCTGCTGGCTCACTGCAATAGCAAACCTCCATATATAGTAATACTAAAGATGTAACAACCTATTCTATTATTATGTGTGCTACTACAGCTCTCAGATAAGAAAGAGATAACACCCAGTCTAGTATTAATTTATTTCCCTGTCACCGCATGCCCTTCTACAACATGACCCCCATGACCAACATCAACCATCGCTCATATGAACGCACATATAGGACCAACCTGTCATTCATTCGTCAAGACCTTCTAGAGCACTCTGCAGCACTCATTGCTTCTTGATGGTGTCGGCGAATATGCTCCTGAAGATTATCCTTTCGATTTTTTTTTTCATAACACCCATCGTAGGGACAGACAAAGGAGCCAGGCGAATCGTGAATAGTTCTTTTATGACGCCGAAGGTCTTGCGGGCGTTTGAAGGGCTGTCTCCTTTTGCAATCTGGATGGTCGCATTTAAGGCTATCTGCACCGATGTATGACCTACATTGGTTAAGCATCAGTTACAGCTTCGATTGATTGCCATTGGAGAGTTGTGAGCGAATGAATACATGCCTTTTTCTCGTCCTCTGAGCAGGATGGGTAGGCCCATTGGATTTCACCGTGGCCTTTGTGTGATTGCTGGCGGGGCATTGGTCAGCAGCAGCGGGCTTCGTAGGAAGATAAGTATCGATGGGAGTAATAATCCCAGGCGCCGACTCCAACTGCAGATTTTCCCAGCGAAAGCCACACCCCTGGGATACGTTCCGGGGGCCAATGCTGCTAGTCACAAGGAATGGTGGTATTTGATTGGTTGGTTGCGTCTGGGATTGGACGGGGGGATGTATGTCAATTTCAAACGGGAGGGAAGAATCTTCATAGAGCAGGGGATCAACAAAGAGGGCGTTAGATTCATTGCACGTGTTGCCACTGCTGCCATTATCGTATAATGGAGCATTGTTCGCAAACTGATCATCAGGAAGAAGAGTATGAGGATCTAACGTGTCTGTCGTGTCTTCGGGCGTAGACAGGAACGAGGCTGTCGAGACATCCAGCCAATGAGGAATGGGCAAATCAGACATGGCAAGTCGAAAGAGAGTATGAGAAGACAGTGACTGAAGAAGTTGCTAAGAAGTCCCATGGCGACTCATTGCAGCTTTCATGGCCTTTTAAAATCCACCTGGTATGAAGGACTGAAGGCCCGGTGACTGTCTAGGGCGCGTTCGATCGCACAGTAACAATTACCAGCACCAGTGAACGTCCTCAAGTACATCTCAGTAATATTTTTCTTGGGATTACTCGGCGTAGAATTTACCGCATTTTTCCTTGTCATCATGCTACTCCCTAGTGGCTCTGGAGACAGCCTTGGTCTCTGACCTTGAGGGCCCTGTATGCGAGTAAAGAAGGAAAAGGTAAAGTAAGTAAACAAAACGTAAAAAATGGCTATCTGGATGCAGCAGTCTTAGATTTGTTCAGGGGGGCTGCATTAGTGTCTGGGGAAGGGGAAATGTACTTTTATTCCACAATCAGGCACACGAAGGGGGGTGTATTGGAATTTTTGTCAGGTCAAAGGTACAATCCAAGTAGCAATAATGATCTTGCACCATAGAATTTTAGACAAGCACACTAACCTTAACTTCCAAGGCGACTTCCGGAACTCTAGAAGATTAAAAAGAGTTTTTCGGTCAATTGATAAGTATACAGCATCCCACCACGAAGTCTACAAATAAGAAAGTAAAATATCAGCCACGTTTCTGACAGCACTTCTAAAAAGAACTCTTAATTACTCACTATATTAAGCAGTAATTCATCTGAATCATCCTTTAGGCTCTTTAAAAGTTAAGATATTAGAAAACAATGATCTGAGATCACCCGGGGGAGCATATTTCGGATGGAAAAACTGCAGGGTATTTTGCTGTAGAAGAAGAGGCTAGGTAATCATAAGTCTTTACTCCATATGAACAAAGCACACATCTGCATCTCTAAGTAAGTAATGTGCTTTAGTATGCCTGAGTTCTAGTTACCATAGCTTATACCTTTGGTAGGAGAATGGCCTGTTACAGTAGTCATTGAATTTTGGTTTGTCTTCGCCTTTTCATTATAACATACAGTCGAGAAGTAGTTGAAATGTTGTTGGATGTTGTCAAGAAGTGGGCCACAGACTCCACAGTTGGCCCAAATGGGCGAAAATGGGCGAAAATGGGCCAAATGTAGGTAGCTAAAATCTAGTTGATATTCCATGGGATCTTGCGGAATTCCGCGTAATCCCGCGTAATCCCGCTGAACCACTTGGGGCTTGAGACTAGATCCCGGAAAGCTAATACGAGGCCCAAGCAATGACGCTAACTTTATTACCATGTTGGGCAGGATAGGGGTTCAGACCAAGGACTCAGCAACATGCTGAGATACTAGTACAAATAGTCTGGCTGTCTGCCTCTCTGTGTTGGTAGTCCCTTCTGGCCCAGGGCCAAAACTGATTCATGACGCCTCCTTTTCTTTTTGTCCCCATGAATACAGTACTCAATTACGAGCTAGCCACAGTAGCCTAATTCCGGCAGGGCCAGCCTTGTAGCATTGGCCTCAGGAAACATTCAAGGTTATTCGCGACTTTCCATCAGAGATTAGATTTGATTTACCACCGCCGCAACATATCATTTACTCATATTTCTGCTTGGATCTCCCTGAAAGACAGAACCGATTATAATCAACTTTACACTCTGGATTTGATCACGTCGAGGAAAGCTTTGGATTAGAAAACTAACAATAAACCTGACAGCAATGGTTTGAAATTATAGTCTCTAAGATAGAAAGAACTACGCACTGCCGTGTTTCTGTTGCACAACTAGGAAATCTCCAGAAAGTGCAATCTCTAAATTAGACGATGACCGGATGGTTGGACCTCGTTTCGAATCGCAGATCATGATGTTTCAGCCCGTACCGACGCAACAAGGCACCGGAGGTGCCTGCAGCCCGGGGTAAAAAGTGATTGTTGTGGAGACGGCCACTGATTATTTTTGTGGATTTGTGACTTGTCGATCAATTTATAGCCAATCAGGCGATAGTTGCCTAGATTTACCGTACAAATTATACCCTAGCTCGTTCCTCTGCGTTGACTGGTCTCAATATGGTCTCCATCGGGTAGTCGAGAATCCTTAGGCCAAAGAACAGGGCGATCCCGGCCAGAGAGCAGCCGAAGCCTCAAGTCAGGCACAGGGCGCTACTGATTCCTTTATGTCATTTATTACTCACCGTAACCTTGTTGATAGACACATGAGGTTAATCCCATCGATATGCACCGATTATGGATATTAGAACATGGTTTCGTTCAGACTATATGATCCTACCAGCTCATATACAAATCCTCGTACAATAGTAGATGAGTTTATTCCTTTGCAAACCAATCATCTCCGGTACTCCTCGACACCGATCCACCTGCCAACCCTAAGGATGAGGGCCAAGCCCGACAGTTCGGCTGTTCAGCAATTACCACGCCGAGCGATGGTCTATATCAATAGCCCTCCACCATAGCTGTACATCCTTCCCAGACAATAATTTCAAAAAGTAAAATATACATCAAACGATAAGATGGAGGCTTCAGAGCAACGCATAGAAGCTCTAGCACAATACACGAGACGCAGATTTCCATAACTCCGATGAAATTGTCTAATGAAGCGAATGCTACAGGTAATCAGGATATCGAAAACCCACCAGCGTGGAATAACGACGATACTCCCCCGATGGAGGCATCACTGCAGGGCTGGTAGTGCTCGGTGCATGGTGTACCCTCTTCTGTAGTTTTGGCTGGATTAACAGTATGCTCCTCTCCCCTCCGCTCCCCTACAGCAGATCCTAACAGAACGACAGGCATCGGGACATTCCAACGTTACTATGAAACCATTCTCCTACCAGAGTACGTTCCCAGCACAGTATCCTGAATTCTGTCGCTACCGGTCTTCTTCATGTTCAGCATGGTATGTATGCCCACAAAATCACGACCGAACAGTGCACTGATACGAGTGAAAGGGCCCCATCGTCGGGAAACTATATGATATCTTCGGCCCCCGATACATCATCCTCATAGGCTCATTCCCCCACGTCTTCGGCCTGATGATGGCCTCGTTGGCTACAGAATACTACCAGCTCCTCCTCTCCCAAGGCGTCTGCAGCGCTATCGGCGTCGCGGCCAGCTTCTAGCCCGCGATGGGTTGTATCCCCGGCTGGTTCAGCCGTCGGCGTGACGCCGCGTACGGGATCGTCTCGACGGGGTCGAGTATCGGGGGTGTGGTCTTCCCGATTATGGTGAGTCGGTTAATGGGAAGCGTCGGGTATGCATGGACTATGCACATCGGCGCGTTTGTGATTCTGGGGTTACTGGGGATTGCGAATCTGACAGTCCGCGCGCGTGGGACGAGGACGGGTAAGCGGATGAGTCAGGAGAGTTGGTGAGGCCGTTTGGCGAGGTGAAGATGGTGCTTCGCGTGCTGGTTTATGTGTTTGACGTTTTGGGTGTTTATTCCCATCAATTATATTGTTGTGCAGGCGGTGGATGCGGGGGCGAGTGCTGCCCTGGTGCAGTATCTTGTTGCGATACTCAACGCGGGGAGTCTGTTGGGGCGATTGTCCGCCGGGGTGTGTTCTGATCTGGTCGGGGCGTATAATATCTTTGTCTGTGTGGTCTTTCTGGGTGGCGTGGTAGTCCTGGGCTTGTGGATTCCGGCCGCGGGGAATGTGGCAATCATTGTCTTTGCGGTGGTGTTTGGGTTTACGACCGGGGCGTATGTCAGTCTTGCACCGGCGCTGGTGGTAGGTATTTCGCCGCTGGAGGAGATCGGGTATCGGACGGGGTTGATGTTTCTGTTCGCGTCTAGTGGTGGACTGACGATAAGTCCGATCGGGGGTGCAATCCTGCAGCGTGATGGGACTCGTATACCGGGATGAAGGTCTTCTCGGGGGTGATGTTGCTGGTTGGCACGGGGTTTGTGGTGGCAGCGAGGGTGGTTCAGACGGGGTGGGTGCTGGAAGCCAAGTTTTAGCACATCCAGATTCTTGTCTCGTGTCTTTAGAAATGTAGATATCGTCATGATCAAACAGTCCACTCCCCAAACCCGAACAACTCCAGATCCCAATTCCCCCAGTCCAAGACATGCTCTGGTCCGTTCTCTTGGACATCGACCTGCCTATTCGTCAATCCCTCCCTCGCTCTCAACGCCTTGGCTCTCAGTTGAGAGATAACCGCCCATTTGGGCCCGGGGTCAGGCCACGCGGGATCCCTTTCCACCGCCTCAAAGGTCGCTTCGACGTTGCGCCACGCCCGCTCAACATGCACGCTAGCCGGATACACACACAGATGCCACAGAACATAACACAGAAGGTGATACTGTGTGTATGTGGTGGTAAGCCAGCGGAAGCCACGGAGCAGGTCGTTCGTTTGCAATTCCATTGCACATTCGAGGCCATGGCAAGCCATCGCCAGTGTCTCCTGCGCTGTTGAACTTTCATGCTGTGGGCACTGACTCTGGCCCTGGCTGTGGACCTGTAGTGCTTTTTGCCTCGCGTAGACTGCGACTTTCGTGGTGAGGACGTCTGCGAGAACGAGGCCGTGCTGGTGAATAGGAATATTGGCGTCCCCGTATTGCAGGTAATTACGCTGAATGTAGTCCTTGAGTTCCCTAACTAGCGGATCTGGCGAGACACCCTGCGATGTCTTTCGTGAGATCTCATGCAAATGGCGGTTGATTTGGATTGTAATCAGTGGGAAAGTCATCTCCGTCCAGCGCGGTTGAGGTGCCGGTGGGACTGTCGCCGTTGCGGAGAGATCCTGGTCGTCGAGGTTGGACGGCAGGTTCGTGTCGCAAGGTTCATTGTGCGCGATAATAGAGAGTCCGTGATCCTCCGCGGCGCGTTGGTCGCACGTCACAATGTGCCACCACAGTCGGCGGCGAAGTTCGCATTCCAGCGGCGAGAGATTAAAGTGCCGTCCGTCGCGATGGAGGCCGATGGATTGGGCGGCGCGAGTGGTGAGGCCGTGAAGTGTCCAGTTGGAGCGGCCGCTGTTGTGATACCGGAGACATGTCTACTCATGAGTCATCGCCCTTCAGAGGAGACTGTAGGATGCATACCTGGTAGATGGCCATTGCTTGCAGCGATATCAGAGTTGGTGCGTCCAGGAACGAAGCACGATAGAGGGCAAGCTCGAACCCCTGCTGATACCGGCGAATATCCGAGCGGATTTTCTCCCGCAACGGGTCATCCGAGTGTAAAGCGGTTGTGGCTGCAAAGCAAATGGCGAACAGGAGCGCCTGGGTATCCGCAGACGCATCCCCAGGCTGGTTGATGGCCGCAAAGACCCGTGGCTGCGTCGACGGAATATGAAGAATCTTCACCACTGGATCGACACGGCCAAGAAAGGTCTGCCAGAGCTGGATGGCTTGCCATCGACTAGGCTGCAGGGCCTGGAAATCTATGTGCTCGCGCAATGAGTTGGTAATGAGGCCCTCCACCCTCAGAGGGGACTGTCGTCCAGGGCTCTTTCCAGCAGATCGGGGCGTGCCAATAGCTGTTTGCAGTTCCTTGTCTTTCTCAAGAAACCCAGATAGGAGATGTTCGTCGATATACCGACCGTCTCGCACCAGAAGACCCTGCCGAGGCTGACGGTCAGGAGCAGTGGTTCGTGTCACATTTGTCTCATCGTCGTGTATTGGACTGACGGTGGATGGACGTCGGATCAGTTCAGTCACGGCTCTCTCCAGTTGATCTACACGAGAGACTACATCTGCCGAAGTGGCTTTTGGTGGACGCCGTTGGACTCGGTTAGGGCCTGGATACTGGCAGGGAACTTTCGTCCGGACACAGGCGGCACAGGGGGAACCCTTGTCGCAACGGACCTTGCGTTGATGGCAGCGGAGACAAGATCGCTCGACGTTATACCGGCGGACATGGTCCATTGTATCATCTCGAGGATTGAGATGTCTGACAGTGACAGTTACAGTTACATGCACCGGAGATGGTCAGTCAAAGTTGTGCCACTTCTTGGCCCTCGGCGTCGGTCATTCACAACTCCGAAACTTAAGCTTATTGCATCTCCTGGCCAATCAGAGGAGAGGCCACAAATCACTCCATCTCATTACATGATCATTACTCCTTTGGGACTCTGCTCAGAAGATCTTTGGTCTAGCATCTACTTGGCAGGAAGGCAGACTTAGGCTCAGCTTGATATATCGGAAGCAAATTGCACAGCCCCCTAATGCACACTAATAGAAGGTGAGGCTGACAGGCAGCAATCTAAGCCACATTCCCTGCGGAATATATCTGCTCTTTATCCCATATCAGATTATCAACTCAACACCAAACAAGAACAATACAAAATGGCCCTCACAAACATCCCACACATCAACCTCCTCTGCATGGAAGAGCGCTTCATCCACGCCTTCCACCATGCTCTAGCCCAACACTGGCCCGAAACCAACACCACCCCCAAACCCACCATCACCATCCTCAACACCTCCCTCCGCCAAGTCCCATCCAGCACAAAGTTCGACCTCATCGTCTCGCCAGCAAACTCCTACGGCCGACTCGATGGCGCCTTTGACGACGCCATATCCCGCGCCTTCTGCCAGCCCCCAAAGCACGAATACGACACTCTCACCGAGGCAGTGCAGAAAGTCCTCTACGAGCGGTGGAGGGGTTTCGCGCCTCCAGGGACATGTACCCTCGTCCCCTTTCCGGATGAACTAATCGGGGAAAATGAATGGGGCTGTCGCTGGGTGGCGATTTGTCCCACAATGCGGTACCCGGATCGGGTCAGTTGGGACCGCGAGATCGTGTACGAGTGTGTGTGGAGTTTGTTGGGTCAGGTTGAGGGGTGGAATCGCGGCTGCAAGAAAGAGGAGCGGATTGAGTCCATTCTGATTACCCCAATGGCGACGGGGGTGGGACGGGTGAGTGCGGCAAGGTGGGCGGCGCAATTTGTGCTGGCAATGAGGCATTTTGTCGACGCATTGAGGAGGCCGGAGAGATGGGCGGCTTTGAGTTGGGAGGATGTGACGGAGGAGGTTGAGGAGGTGAAGGCGACGTGGGAATTGTAGGGTTGATTTACCACAATGGTGTATATCATAGCTGAGTCTACCAGAAAGGAGACGCGGGCATACTCGGCCAAAGGTGGTCTGAACTGGATGTATCAATGTATGAAGATGACAACGACAGTGGACATTTGCTGCAGCTACACACAGCCTGTCGAATTAGTATCTAGACCCCGCTTCATTAGGATAATGGACATTCTCTGGCTGCCAGAGGTTGTGATCAGAAATCCTCGGGGCATAAGCCCGTCCCCATTGATATACGTATTATTTTGATTGCTTCACAGCATGTTAAGTGATAACTGGTATCTTAAGGTATACAAGCCATATATGATACCTAGTATTAACAGAGATACCACTCCAGAGAGAAGCAATCGAGGAATGTTGATGCCGGAGTAACAGTTCTGTGGCTGACTGCATCGACGAAGCGGGTTGTCCCTAACCCATTCCTATTGCAACAGGAACTGCTGGGTCACATGTAGGTATTTTCAATGTGTATAGCTCCAAACCTGACCCTGTTCTAAAGTGACTGGGCGCGTCTGTTAGAAGTTGGAACAAAATGACTTGCAGGTTCAGCCTCGCTTAGTCATCTTACTATCAGCTCATAGTTATAACTTACCAGGCATCCATCGCTGGTACCCTGTGCGATGGAACTTCGTCCGCCTTTTTCATCCCACCTCACTCTTCATCTAGTTTTTGTCTACCAGTCCGTAGAGATGTATCCAAGTCTCCATCCGAAGCTTGTCTTGGTGCTAGTCGCTGCGCTGGCCACCATCGCATGCATCTGCATCAAGCGTTACCTCGTCCGACGCCAGTTCGCACGCAAGCACGGTTGCCAACCAGTAGCACGATCCTTTAGCAAGGATCCCTTCCTAGGCCTCGATACTATCCCCAAGACCATCGGCGCGCTGAGGCAACACAAAATCCTCGAAAGGAGCTGCAACCTCTTCCGCAACTACGGCAACACCTTTACCGTAAAAGAGCTGCAAAAAAGCGCCATCCTAACCATAGAGCCAGAAAACATCAAGACGGTCCTCTCCCTGAAATTCAACGATTACGGCCTCAGCCATCGGCTTCAACCCTTCAAACCACTACTAGGCGAGGGCATCTTCGACACCGACGGCGCGCACTGGGCCTCGTCGCGGGCCTTGATCCGGCCTAGCTTTACTCGCGACCAAGTAGCTGACTTGACGGCGTTGGAGGAGTTGATACAGGACCTCTTCGCGTTGCTTCCGCGGGATGAGAAGACGGTAGTGGACCTGCAGGAGCTGTTCTTCCGGTACACGATTGATTCAGCGACTGAGTTCCTGTTCGGACAGTCAGTCGGGACGTTGAAGAAGACTCACTCTGAGCTTGGCGTTGCGCAGGCGTTTCATTATGCCCAGAAGGCTATCATCACGCGAGGCATGCTAGGCCCGCTGGCCGTATTCTATCGCGATCAAAAGGCAGACGAGTGCAATCGCGTCTGCAGGGAATTTGTCCAGCGGTTTGTCGACGACGCCTTTCATGCAGTTGAGGGCAAAAGAGAAAAGAAACAGGATGAGACGGGCCGCCAGAAGCGTATTTTCTCGCATGAATTGGCGGCGCGGACATCCGATAAGCGTCGCGTTCTAGATGAGCTGATGAACGTGTTGTTAGCCGGTCGTGATACCACTGCTAGTCTACTCGGCAATCTGTTCTTCATGCTGGCGAAGAAGCCAGTGGTTTGGGATAAGTTGCGTGCAGAAGTAGCTTGTTTACAGGGCCGGACACCAACTTATGAAGAGCTCCGCAGTCTGAGATATGTCCAGTGCTGTGTAAATGAATGTAAGATCGCTCTCTGCTAACGTATTCCCCTCGCTAACGTTCTAGCACTACGTTTACACCCTGTTGTCCCACGCAACGAACGCCAGGCAGTACGAGATACCGTCCTCCCACTCGGAGGAGGCAGTGATGGTCTCTCACCTGTCTTCGTGCCCAAAGGCACCATAGTATCCTACAACCTATACGCGATGCATCGGCGGCCAGACTTCTACGGGCCAGACGCAGAGGAATTCCGTCCTGAGCGCTGGGAGGACGGAAGACTGCAGCCGCGCTGGGGTTATCTGCCGTTTAATGGTGGCCCGCGCATCTGCATCGGGCAGCGATATGCGTTGACGGAAGTTAGCTATGTTCTTATACGCATGGTACAGGAGTTCCGGGTCTTGGAGAGTCGGGATCCGGGGCCGTGGGAAGAATCGCTGGCTTTGACGCTGTGTTCGCGGAATGGGACAAGGGTGTGTCTTATTCCTAGTTGAGTTCAAGGACATAGATGTCCATACAGTACCAGAGCCTATTCAAGAGTAGAGTGCATTTGTCCATCTATAAGAGTAGAGAGGTATAATGTACAACTTGCATCAACCCAAAGCCTTATCCAACGCCTGGCCCTTGCACATCTCATAGTAACTACCTCTTTTCTCCAGCAACTCGGCATGACTACCCGCCTCCACAATCCTCCCAGCCCGGAACACAAAGATGCAGTCCGCGTCCTTGATCGTACTCAACCGATGCGCAACCGCAATGGTACTCCTCTTCCCATCCTTAGAAGCCTCGCTCAGCGCCGCCTGCACAATCCTCTCGCTCTCCGTATCCAGCGCACTGGTTGCTTCATCCAGCAGCAGGATCTTCGGATCGCGAATCAGAGCCCGGGCAATAGCGACACGCTGGCGCTGCCCACCAGATAGCTTCGCGCCGCGAGCGCCAACCTGGCTGTTCAAGCCGTCAGGCAACGATACGACGAAATCAAATATGTTGGCGTCTTTGCAGGCTTGTTCGATTTGTGCTTCTGTCGCTTCCTTCGATTCAACCAGACCCATGGCGACGTTCTCGCGGATGCTGCCTTGGTACAGGACTGGCTCTTGCTGGACGAGTGCCAAGCGGCGACGGTGATCTTGTGGGCTGATGTCGTGGATTGGCTGGTCGTTGACCGCGATGTAGCCGGATGTTGGGTCGTAGAAGCGGGCCAGTAGATTGATCATTGTGGACTTGCCGCAGCCGGATGGACCGACAAAGGCGACGAATTTTCCCGGTGGGATGGTAACGTCGATGCCGGAAATGACGTTGGAGCGCGGGCGAGAAGGATAGGCAAAGTCGAGGGCGTGGCAGTCGACGGTAACCGGTTCAGGGTCTTGTGATCCGTCTGAAGGAGGCTCGTCGGAAAAGCTATTGTCGATAGCGGGGACCCGCTGGCGCAGCCAGAAGATGTAGTTTGTCGAGCCTGTTGCTTTTGTGATGCTGGTCGTGTACTGGAAGATAGCAGCTGCGTTCTCGCCTCCGACCACGACGGCAGTGAAGACCACGAAGAACTGCTCGTTGGTGTACTCACCCGTCGAGATGAGCTTACCCCCGTACCAGAAGCCTAGGGCCATGGCCAGGAAGTTGATGGATTGGGTCAGTGCGTACCAGAACATCGTAAAAGTCAGTGCTTTCACAGATTGCTCTGCGACCACGGTGAGTCTTTCCCGGTAGATCTGAAGCATCTTGTTCTCTAGCGTAAGAGACGCCACCGTGCGGATGGCCGAGATTGCCTCTGCCGCAATCGCGGCACTGCTGGCGAAGCGCGCCGAGGTGTCTTCTTCCAGCTTGTACTCAAGGCGGATGCGGAAGTAGCCACTAAGCAGCAGGGGAGGGAGAGCACCAAAGACGCAGACGAGGCCGAGTTTCCAGCCATATGCAATCCCCAAGACGGACACAGAGATGACCGTGACAATATTGATCAGAATTAAGCCAGAGTTGATCCCCAAGAGCTCGTTCAGGTTCGAGGCGTGGATCAACAGCCGAGATGAAATCGCCCCGGTTGCGTTGTGTTCCAAGTCGAAGAACGCAATCTCTTGCTTCATGGTGTTCCTGAAGAGTTCGCGGCGGTACCTCCGGCCGACTTTCTGTAGCATGATATGAGCAAGGTTAACGAAGACAGAAAAGATCGGCAGGGGATACTCACCTGAATGATGACATTGGCCATCCATCCCAGGCAGAAGTAGATGAAGAGGTTGGCAAGGGCGACAACGAAGAACATCAGCGCCCAGAAATCTCCCCGACGAACAGCCTCACTGCCGCGTAGTTGAAAGACTTGGAATGTCCGCGCGAGAATGACGGCTTGTGCTGGGAATGTGCCGCCTGCCATGGGTTAGAAAAGGGTCTGGGAGAGCTTTTGAGCACACTGACCTCCAAGAATACACGCAATCGCCACAAGGGAGTATAGTCCCCATAGCTGCCGCTGCTCCTTTATCAAAAGCCACAGACATCGAATGAGACTGTATCCCATAGTCTCCTTGGCAGCTGTTTTCGCCTTCTCATCCGCTGAAAGAGATTCCGCACCCACACTCCTAGTATGATGCAGCGACAGCTTCGCGGCAGACTTTGCATCATCCTTTTTCTCAGTAGCTTCCTCGTCCGAGTCAGCCTGCTCTTGAGCCTTGCCATCTGCCTTCTCCAGGTCCTGCGCCCTGACAAGCCGGGCATAAGCACCGTCTCTGGCAATCAGTTCCTGGTGCGTCCCCTGCTCGATGATTCTCCCAGCGGACATGACAGCAATGTTATCCGCCTTCTGCACCGTAGACAGTTTGTGCGCAATGGTGATGGTCGTCCGGCCGACAGAGATATTATCCAGCGCGCTCTGGACAATCTTCTCAGCCTTGGGATCAAGAGCAGACGTGGCTTCATCCAGCAGCAGAACCGACGGCCGAGAAATGATGCTCCGAGCAATGGCAATCCGTTGCTTCTGGCCTCCTGACAGCATGCGCGCACGTTCTCCAATCTGGGTATCATACTGTCTGGGCAGGTTCTCAATGAACTCATGCGCGTAAGCATCCCGGCAAGCTTCTTTCACAAGAGCAAGCTTCTGCTCGTACGGGGCCTCTGCGTACGACGTCCCTTCCAAGCCGAAAGCGACGTTGTCGAAGATCGTCCCGCTAAAGAGAACCGGTTCCTGCTGCACGAGGCGAATCTGCGTGCGTAGCCAGGCAATGTTGAGTTTCTGGATTTCGATGCCGTCGAGTAGGATTGTACCGGCCGCTGGGTCATACCAGCGCTCGAGGAGCCCGACTATGGTACTCTTTCCCGAACCACTGGCACCGACCAGGGCGGTTGTCTTACCGGCGGGGACGCTCAGGTTCAGGCCGTTGAGGACTTGGGTATCTGGGCGAGAGGGGTAGGCGAAGTCGAGAGCCTTTATTTCGATCTCGCCGACACATGTCTCAGGCGCCAGCCCTGCGGTTGAGAGGGAGTCTATGGCAGACTGCTTGTCGATGACGCGGAAGAGCTCATCCGCAGCAGCGGCTGCTTTTGTGATGGTGATGATTTGAGGCGCGACTTGGGTCAGAGCTGTAGCAGCAACGACTACAGCGAAGATTACACTGACAAAGAATCAGTAAGGTCATCCATCTAGCAGGTAGCAAACGCACGTTACGATATCCCCCGGCTCGTGGACCTCGCCACGAGCGTACATCCGGATACCCTGCCAAAAGGCAAGACCATATCCCGCGTAAACGCAGAAGAATTCGGTTGAGAACAACACCCCATAATTTGGTGATTTCTTCATGCCGACGCGCTCCAATTCGGCCAGGTAATCCTCGTACCGCTTCGCCATCACCGGTTGCAGCCAGAAAGCATGAACCGTCGAGATACTCGAGAAGACCTCTTCGGCGACCAGACTAGCGCGCGAATAGATCCCCATCAGCTTGTCCTCATTCTTCACGTCGATGCCCATGCAGATTCCGGTGACGATGACGATGGTCGGGACGATGCAGACGGTAATGAGCGTGAGCTTCCACTGCACGGCAAAGGCGACTACAAACGCCGCTGCAAAAGTCGCGCAGCTCTGAACAAAGACAGACAGCTTCTCCGAAATGCCGTTGGTGACCAGATTGCCATTTGTGGTGACTTTGACCGATGGTGACCCGGCGTTCTTCGAATCAAAGTAACTCATGTCCTGGCGCAAGAGACTTTGCAAAAAGTCCAGCCGCAGCGCTTTCGTCGCTCGAATGGCCGCGATCGATGCGGTCACAGTATGGATGTAGACGAGGACGAATTTGGCTATAAACAAATATACCAAGTATAGGCTGGTCATGTTAGCCAGTGTCAACGCTTGGATGTGCAGATGACTGACGCAAATTTCGACACCTCCCTCATATAATCGTCCGGACCGACCGCGCCCAGGGCAAAGTTGTTAAATGTCGTCACGAACTTGCCAAAGATCAGATCCATCAACGGAAGGGCCGAGCCAGCTGCGATGGCGGCGGCTATGGCGATGGCGTACAAAATCCAGCTCGTTCTGTCGGCGTAGTTGAATATGCGCATGTAGCTCTTGAAGCCAGAGGGTTTTGGCGCCTCTTCGGCCCCATCTGGCTTCAGCTCTTGATTCTTCTCCATGTCCGGCATGACGCGCACAGGAATCTAGATGAAAATGCTGTGAGGAAGTCGTGTTATTGATATCCTCCACTGACGTTGAGATCGGAGGCCGCGGGTCCCGAGTGCGTACACGCAATAACTTGCTGAGATATCTGCCTGTCGCTCTGATGAATCATCCAATAGAAGTGCACATTTTCCCGAGTCGTGACGACTGCTCAGAGTTGCCTAGTGCCATGATCGTTGGTCATTCCAGGGTGCAAGGGTGGGTTGGCTGTGATATTGTCAGCACTAATAAACGCGGAGTCCGAGGGACCCGGTAGAATATCTCCTGTACCAACAGTCGAAATGACCAATCACACCCGGTGAGCCTTCCAGAGACCAGGTTAGTTAGACGCGGTGCAGAAAGGCCATGCTGGATTCAGTTATGATGGTAAGCGGTAGAAGGAAGCCCCTACCAACCAAAGAGGTATACACTATGTATGTATGACAATACCAATGCCAGAAGCACACGCATGTACAGTTGATGATGATCAAGTGCGAATGTAGAATGTAATAAGTACAATTGGATGTATCTGCCTGTTACGCCTAACGAGTGATGACATAACTATCTGGCTTGACTTTCCTCCCCATGCACGTAAAATGACTATACAGTTGGTAGATAAAACAATAACAGATCGCTCGATACCAGGAGCCTAAACCAAGCTAGCTCACCACCTAGCTAGGAGGAGCACCGCCAGGGCCACCAGAGCCGGAGCCCCCGGGACCACCGGCGCCGCCACCGGAGCTGCCGTTCTCGACACCGCCATCCTCAGTATAGTAAGCAGCAGGAGTCACAGAGCTGCTCTCGGAGGAGTCCATGGCAAGGGAGATCCAAGCGAAGATACCGTCGGAGACAGAGTCACCCAGAAAAACGTACTCGACAAAGGGATCGATGGTGTCGGCCTCCTCGGCGAGGATGCTGTCCTCGTCGTTGGTGGTGAGCTCCTGGGTGTTGGTAGAGTAGGGCGAGATCTCTTCGACGGTGGAGATGAGGTCCTGGTCGAAGAAAATCTGGCCGACATGAGCGGAGTGCGCGGTGTAGAGGGCTTCGAGGGTGTTGTTGGCGTTGACGGTTGTTTCGTTGAGAGAGTGGGTTAGGACTGGGCACGAACAGTTAGCCTAGCATCATAATATCATTAGATGAATGAGCATACCGTGAATATGGGTGGCGCGTCCGGTGTAGTGGCCTGGAAAGATGGTATGGAACTGGGCGACACCCTCGTCGTCAGTCTTCTGGAGGCCACGGAGGAAGGTAGCGTCGAGGTTGCTGTCGTCGTTGGAGTTGCCGTTTCCACTGGCGACAACGCCGGAGTAGACACCCTGGTTTGTTAGTTGCATCCATTTGCGCCTATGCAAGGGAGACTTACAGTAGCATTGCAGTGCCAGAAGTCCAGATAGACACCGGTGACAGGCTCGCAGGTGGAGCTGTCAACCATCTGGACGTCCACGTAGAGAGGGACACCCGCCTGGTCCTCGGTGATGTCGCTGCGGATCAATTCGCCGCTTACATCTGCAGGTCGTCAGTAGATAGCCAATGATATCATAGAACAATAACCATACAGTAAGGTCCCTGAGTAACGTCGGATGCCAGGACACAGGTTGCGTTGGAGGAGAACAGGACCGAGGGGTCAGTGGACAAGTCCACATCCAAGGAGGATTCGTGGGAAGTGTTGAGAGCACTAAGGTCGCGAGCCTTGAGGAAAGGAGCACCTAGGAGATATTGAGTCAATGCTGACTTCACACAGGGATTAGGAAGATTGCATACGAGTCTCCAAGCCCTTGCTGCGGCGAAGCATCTCGACTGCATGCTCACGACGAGCAATGCTGCGACTCTCAAGGCCACGGGCCTTGAGCTTCGCGGCGCATCCTCCCCAACCGCGAGCGATATTGGAACGCTTCAGGAAAGCCGCACGCTCCGCAGCCTCGGCTTTGACATTGTGGCCAGGATGCGCCAAGGAGACGCTGGCGAGGCCGGCCACGGCAGCGACAAGGGTAGAAGCGAGTTGGACCATGGTAGAGGCAGTGAAGCGATGCAAAGAGAGGCAGAGCGATGGTGATGATAGAAGCGCATTGTCAACCAGCGCAGGTGCCAGCTTTATACCTTTTCATCTTTGAAGTATGTACGCAAACTCAACCGTCGACAATCTTTCTGACCGTCAACATGAGGAGTTCACCCTGTACGCAAGTCGATATTGCGTCGATATTGATGCTGACGCAACCCTTGTAGACGGAGTTGATCAACTCCGTCGAATCAGATAAGACACATTGATCAGCGACAGGGCGGAAGAGGGACTATAGACCCTCTACGGGGGTGGCTTCCCGCACCATTCCCAATTATGCATACTGCCTCTCGCAGGACTCCCTGGGCATCAAAAAGTTCCATACCCTATCCGGAACGGATGATCCGAAATCCAGGGCCAGAACCAGAGATCATCGCTGGCTGACGACGTCGCCCCGCTTTCGCCGTCCAAGACTTCAGAAGTACGCAGAAGCAAGTCAATCTAACATCTGCACGCTGAAGCAAATAGAAGTCTTGGCCAGCAAGCCAAGCGCAGTGCGAGTTGCACAAGCCGGAAATTTCAGACACTCAACTCCGCTGGCGCATCGCGAGGCTTGACTGTATTCAGGTTTGGGATGTCTGTGGGTCGTAACCCACTAACCTCGGTATCGAGAGGCGGTGTATTTCGTGAATCTTCCATCTAGCTTTCCTCAATTATCAAGCAATCAGGCATCTCCCATTTGATTCACGTACCTCCGTCGCTTGGCTTTCTGGTGAGTACGACTAAACGCAGATCATTGCCTTATTCTCCACCAAAGCACAAGCTTGTTGGAGATAGACACGCATCCTTTCTTGGCAAGACTGATCACGTCCGAGGTCTGATGTCTCGAGTTTTTGAACGACTCGAGATCACGGCTGTTGATATGACTGGAATCGCTGATTCAGTGGGATGACGAGTCAATCGCGACTTCGCCATAGGATCAAGGCACGTGTTCCTAATCGCTGAAACGCCAAGATGATGATTACCATCAATAACTCTCCTTGCAACAATCGGCATTTCATACTTTGTATTCCCGTACGTTTCAGATCCTTGATGATGGCCTGACTAATGAAAAGGGTAAAACTGATGTTGGACAGGGAGAGTCATGGACATGGAAGGTCACGGGGCGTTTCGCTTGCTGCCCAATTGAGCATAGCCCCATGCCTTATAGATAGCTTCACCATCTACATCCTTTGCTCCCACGAATTTCGTGCATGCTTTCTGTCTGCGCTGTTATCTACTTGCAAAGTCCTGTCGATACTCCTTAGCGCCGTTGAGAAGTTATAGGCTTCAATATGGTTCACTGACTAGCATTTGTCAGGCAAGTGCACATCCTATCACACTATCGTCATCATTCCTGTGGTGCGTTTTCCCAAGTCCCCAGTGAGTTGCAGAGAAGTTCCCATGGTAGAGAGGCCTTCAGATGTACACACAGCAGTTTCCGAGTTGTACTCGAAAGATGCCCGACGGGCAGTTACCATAGCACGTGCTAGGTAGTTGTAGTACGCATCTTGTAGAAAAAGGTTCGATCCAAGGGCAGCATAGAGAGGTATATCCTACTGATTACCATAGCAAGTGGGAAAGACTATTGGACGTCATTATGGGCTTCTGACGATCTCTTCCATGAAAATAGAAGCAAAAGATATGAATGTAGAAGTCGAACTCGATTCAATGGTTTCCCATTTCTTTTTCATTTTCTTTTCAACATTTGCCTAAGATACCACCATTAAAACAGATATTAGAGTCTCATTCCTCTGTAGACATTGAGCATTATTGTAACATGAAGCGTAACCATGGGTATACGTGACGTTGGTAAGTAAGAAGAAAATCACAAGAAAGTCTCAGAAGCCCTCAGAGACGGAGAGTTGGCACCGCCAAGATTGTTTAAACCTCCTGGTGGACAACCTCGCCAGTCTTCTCAGCCATATCCTTCTCAGTGAGACCCATCTCAGCGGCGAAGGTGCCGTGAGGCTTCCACTTGGCAGAGGTACGGGGAGTGGTCTCCTCCATCATCTTGTCGACCTGCTCGAGGGTGAGACCCTTGGTCTCGGGGACGAGGAAGTAGGTGTAGACAAAGGCACAGGCGCAGAGAGATCCCCAGATGAAGAAGACCTTGGCCTTGAGGTTACCCTTGTCGGTGTCGACCATGTAGGGGGTGATGACAGCGATGATCTATACGAAGGTAGTCAGCACGCTATTCTTTGCATCCGTGTCGAGTAGAAACTTACGCAGTTCCAAAGCCAGTTGGAGGCGGTGGACAGAGCAACACCACGGGAACGGATGGGCAGAGGGAAGATCTCGCCGATGACGACCCAGGCACCAGGACCCCAGGTGCTGGCGAAGAAGAAGATGTAAATGCAGATGAAGGAGATTTCCGCGCTGACGGCACTCTTGTTGCCGCCGTCAGCAGTTCCGACAATGGCGACGATGAACTGGCAGATAACCATGCCCAGAGCACCCCAGAGGAGCAGAGTACGACGACCGAGCTTTTCCATGGTGTAGAAGGAGATGGGAGTGGAGCAGACATTGACGATGGTGGTGATCATGCTGATCAGGAAAGGGTCGCTGATGGTTCCCAAGCTCTTGAAGAAGGTGGTACCGAAGTAGAAGACGAAGTTGACACCAGTCCACCTGTCGCGGTCGTTAGCATCGCAAGTCAGTCAGCAACGAAAGCAAGAAGCGAAACATACTGTTGCATCATCTGCAGAGAAGTACCCAGGATGGTACGACGGAGGTTGCTGTTGGGGTTCCAGAGACTTCCACGGAAGCAGTTGAACCAGCTGCCAAAGTAGCCGCTCTGGGGAATGGCCTGCATCTCGTACTCGTGGTTGGCGACAATCTCAGCCAATTCGGAGCGGATGAGCTCAGAATCGTGGGGCTGGCCACGGACACGGCCAAGAGCCACAGCGGCCTTGGTCAGATCGCCCTTCTTGACGAAGTAACGAGGAGACTCGGGCAGTAGAAGGAGACCGGTACCAAGGATGAGAGCCCAGGCGATCTGGACACCGATGGGGATGCGGTAGGAGCCAGAGTCGGCGCGGTTCTGGGTGGCATAGTCGACGCAGGAAGCCAGCATCAGACCAATGGTGATGCAGAACTGGTAACCAGAGACGATGGCACCGCGGACCTTGCGGGGCGCAATCTCGGACATGTACAGGATAATGATGGCGGAAACGAAACCGACACCAAAACCGGCAACCAGACGACCGACCACGAGCAGAGCAGTGCTGGCGGAAGCAGTCTGAAGGATGACACCGACAATGAAGATAGCGCAACCACTGACAATGGTAGTACGACGACCAAACCAATCGGACAAGTCACCAGCGATCAGAGCACCGAAGAAAGTACCAGCAGACAGAATAGAAGTAATCAGAGACTTCTTCCAGGAAGGAATGACGAAAAGATCGGTCGGAGTAGTGGCCTTGTCCTGTAGAGTAGGAGGTTCAACTGTTAGTAACGAAGTCCTTTGCTATAACTTTGCGGAGCGGGGGTTACTAACGAGACCCTCGAACTCGGTGATGAAATAATCCATGGCCATAACACCGGAAATGTAACCAGAGTCATAACCGAAGAAGATACCACCGAAGGCCGCGAAGGCACACATCAGGTAGGTCTTCCATGTCACAGGCGCCTCGACGCGCGAGGTATCGACGACAACGTCCGCCATGATTATCGATGGCAGTGATCAACCCCGAGAGTAAAGACGTGGAAGGTTAGATATGAGAGTGGATAGGGATGTTGATCACCACGAGGCTCAAAAGGAGAAGGATAGAAGGAAGAAGAGAAAAGGGAGAAGATCTACGTGACAAGAAGGTCGGACAACCTGGGGGGGGGGGGAAGAACGGCAGATTTTATAGACCTGGACCTGGAAGAGGAGAAACCTGGAGATGCCGCACTCGCTCTTTCTCTCACTTTTCTCTTTCCCTCAATCAGTCGGCCCCATGCCGGTCCGGGGAATTGACCACGGGGGATGCAGGTTGCCATCGGCTCTAGCGCGTTTTTTTTTTTTTTTTTTTTTTTTTTTTTTTTTTTTTTCTTTTTTTTTCTTTTTTGTAATGCGGTTCTAGTTGCCATCACACTTGGATCGCTTAGTCTTGTCTCATCTGGGGAATTGGGGACAAAGCTGGAGACATGGAGAAAACAAAAAAGACCGCCATACTGGATTGGGATGCACTAAAAGTGAGCGAAACATGAGTCAGAACAGATGATGGACCAATCATTGCAGCGAGCAGTCTGTCTGAGATCGCAGGATCCAGTAACCTGAGTGAAATGAGGGACCTCGGACTGCGACGCTGTACAACTCTGGAATGGGAAACACAGAGTGGTAGAGTGGTAGAGTGGCGCATGGGCATGGTACTGTACAGACATTCACAGGCAAAACCCCGGATCGAATGCTCGAGCTGACCACCAAAATCCGGCCTGTGCTCGTAGAAACTAAACCATCTAGGGCCAAGTATCTTGCTTAGACCTCTATCCTGGGATTTCTCATTGGTAATGGATTTGTGGCGCGGCCAACCCCGGACGTTCTGGCCAAACAGATGCTCGGGTCTCGGCCGGCCGTGTTGTCGGGCTGACTAGTTCTGGCACAGTCTCGAAGCTGTAGCCAGTAAGGGAACTGGCTACGCGCTTCCAGAGACACTAACCCCGGCGACGGTTCCTTCTCAGGCCTAATTTCCGTGTCATACACTCTCATTGGCTGTTCTGGCAGGGGCCGGAAAAACCAGCCTACCACGTGCAGGAAAGTGGAGTGGCCGCTCCACATGGTCCGAAGAAACCAAAGTCTGTCAAAGTTTGCTAGTCAATACCATACAGTATCATACCTTACCAATTCTGTTTCTACTCCCTAGGTTACTCTGTACGAAGCATACCATCAATGTTCGCGCCGGCTTCGATGGATGTATAAGGAGACGGAATGTTGGATACTGTTGCGACCGGTCAATTTATATCAAGTTCGAATTGAAGGCTACCCAGAG